GAATAAATTTGAGGATGACTGTATCTCACCATTAAAGGCAGGCAGTAGAGATATCATTTCATCATTGTGTTGGGGAGATTATCTGGCAATGTCAGAACCAAGATGGTGGGATACTCTATGACTTCGCAGTTTGAAGAAACTGCCATAAATGTCACTGTTTTATTCAATAAAGTGTTCACATACAGCAGATAGTTGCAGAGGTGGAGAAGCAGACGGCTCCAGTGTAACCCCAAACAAGGGTTCTCCAGTGGGCCCCCCAGAGTCACCATCGCTTTTAAATCATTGCAATTAAAAGTAAATCCATTATTTTGTGCTTACTTTTCATACAAAGTGGGATATAATGTCCGCTCTATGTTGGAGACAGTGCAGACATTTGCAGCAGCTTCATCATCTGATTACTTCTTGGTGCACAGAGAAACAACTAGTATCATCAGAAAAACAATGAGTTCTGCTGTTTTTCCTACATGTGGTTGGACTATGTTAGGAAATGATCAAGACTTTGTGACGTAATCAGCTGCAAACCAGGAGTGTCAAACCTGGTGAGGAAATGAGCAGAGATATTACTTTGCAGGAGTGTGATTACGTCAGTGTGAACAAATATGTGATCGACATCATTAGAAAGCTCCACGTACATTCTTTCTTGTAATATGATGTTAATATGCAATGATGAGTCTATGAGTGATTCAAACAAGGGTAAATTTGACGAAAATTCATCATCATTTTTTCTCGCTGATGCTTCGTCGCACAGATGAGGGACTGGCATTGTTGGAAAAGGTCAAGCTGTGCAGTTTATTTTAATGTGCGCCACGCCTTGCTGTGATAAATAGTTCGAGAGCAATTTGACGAAGAAGAGGGGATGTGAGTTTGGATGAAAACCGTCTAGCCTTAAGGATTAACTCTAGCAGGTGTCACACATGTAGAAACTTTTTGCATTTGATTGATCCAAAGATCTTATCTTACAGTATTTTAGTGCATATAAGTGTGTCACAGCATTGGGAACTGTCATTGCTCATAAATGAAGGCAGCATCATAAACAATCGGTCACAGTCACTGAGGTCTCTCATCAGATTAGAAAATCCTCTGTGTGACTGTAATGGTGCCAATGCTGAAGCTCTGTAAGCTCAAATGTAACAAATAAATGAACAAATAAATAGTTTATTAAAGGTATCTGACCATCAGTGACACTAACGCCTCGTTCAAATGGGATTAACGTCACAGGGGTAGTAGGGAGATGAAACATCCAGCGTGGTCTCTGGCGAATTTTAAAATGTGCAAAATAGGATGTGGCCTTTGACAAAATGAAACCTAAAGCAAATAAACATGAATACATGTCCATAATTCCACTAAGAAATAACATTTAAAAAACTAACTTTCAGAAGATTTTGTTTACAAATTGGTTTCTAAGCCTATACTTTGGTGTTGCTATGTTTCCGTCACATTTTAGGCTTCCTTCAAAATCAGTCCAAAATGAGCTTATTTCTGTTCAAACCCATGTGTTTGACACTATCCACGCATCGTATACAGTCAAAGCCGGTACCTGTTAGTGACCCGTGAGTTGGTTTCACAGGATTGACTTTGACCACGTTCAGTCGGAGAGGTTTCGAGTTCTCCAGCTGCTCCTCGCTAACGTACAGACCGTCGCTGAGGAAGTAGTTGTCGGTGCTGGTCACCCTGCAGAGAAAGGAGAGGATGGAGATGGATGGAGATGGAGACGAAGAGGGACAAAGAGAGACAGTGAGGCGTAGAAGGTGTAGATTTCATGAAAACTAAACGCTAAGGGAATGCTCAGTTCTAGATGAAGCCAACACTGTTCTTGTTATTCCATCTCTAATCAAAAGGGGCCTTCTGCTCCACTGTTGGGGATTTTTCTGAAACTTCTTAAAAAAAAAAAAATCATATACTGTTTAGTTAAAAGTTTAAAACATATATTGTAGACTAATATATCACCTACTTTCTAAGATAGTTTCTTAAAAATTGGGCATCGACCCATTTTCGCCAGGTTTTTGTTGCACATTGTAACTTGAGGTTATGTTTGGACGGTAATATCTCAGGAACTGTTCAAAATAAAAGCATTTTTCATCATGTCACTGATTCAGAATCTGGATAAGTGGTTCAAATATTCTCTGATAGCTGAAATATGAAAATAAACTGAAGCTCATCACATCTTTGAGCTCATATTAACACAAAAATTGATCATGCAGAAGTCAACTAGTGATATTTTCTGAGCCATGTGTCACAATAATTTAAAAACAGAAATGTATAAATACTTTTTGATATAAAATACTGGAAAAAAAAATACTCTTGTTGAATTTGGATAACTGATTGAAAAGGTATGATTACCTGTGCTACACAGACAAAATATTGATAGATCGCCTAATCCATGTAGAACAAAGCTCTGGAGTCTCCACATAAATAAACTTGTATTATTATATTATATTACTCACTTATACTATAATATTTTTCAATTTAAAACCCAAACATAGCTTTAAATCCTGATGAAAGTGGGTCCAAGGACAATTAAAAACAACAACTGAGAAAGTACTTGATACATCAATCTAAAATTTGACAGATGCGATTTTAAATATTCAAGTTTATGAAAAAAAAAAAGTGTTTTAAGCAAATCACAGATGGTGGAGCAGAAGGCTCCTGATGATTCGAGGTGGAATTACCCTCTTGTTCTGATTTGTTTCTGTGTGTAACCTACCTGATGGTGGTGGTGGATGAGTCTCTGCCTACAGTCATCATGTGCTCTCCTTCTCTGATCTGCTGGGCCCAGTACGGATGCAGCCACGCCACACAGGACACATGACCAGCGTACACCATGGGCATTATCCAGTTTTCTATACTCAACTCACTGAAAAAAAGGAGAAAACATCCAACACAGGGTGGAAATCAGACTGTAAGAACATGCATCCAATCCCTGAAGTGTGTCCAACATGTAAACTTACTGATACTGCGTTTACGTCTTTTTATTTGGCAGATTTTTAATAAATTTCAAACGGGTCTTTACAGATGAAACAGATCAGAGTTTAACTTAGTTGGGTGCTAAGGACTCATAGTGAGGAGGACTTCTTTTTGACTGTTTTAACTGTTCACCTTTGCACAGTTTATTGTCAGAAGTCCAGCAGAATGTTTGATGTTCTAATTCAGTCGCACACCAAATTTAAAAACCAGCTGGTTAAGTAATTTGTCTGTGTCAGCGTAGTTTTATTTTCTACTTTAAACAAAACAGAGAACATTGGTTGTTTGAAAAAAGCTAAAAAAAAAAAATGAATAGAAAGCACCGATTAATCTTCAGTCATTTCCAAGAGCTTCCTCAGTTACACCGCTTCTGGGAAACACTTCTTGAAGCACAAAGTTTACAACCGTCTCAGCCTTAAGATGCTTTTGGAAAACCGGTCTCAGATGTTTTGCTTGTGACAGCTGTCTCAAATGAATGGCGCCCCAAGCATGGACGATGAATAAATTCTGCTGAGTTAAGGTAAAAAAAAAAAATAAAAAAAATGTTCTGCCTAATTTTCCACACTTCCTTACAGTTATCACCTGCTGCAGCTTGGACACTCGCAAGCTGCGGCTTCGCGATTGAACTGAAGGGAAAAGCCTGGAATGAGACGAGCGGCGGTTGTTACTTGAGGCACGTTTGGCACAAAACGTACCTGAAGAGTTTCTCCTTATCAAAGACTGTGTCAGCAGACATGTTGACGGGGATAAGCAGGTCGGGATGGGAGTCCAAATGAACCATCTTTATGTTCTTCAGTGGGAGGTGCCTCGACGCAATGGCCCGGTAGATGTGACACACCACCTAGTCGAGATACACACACACACACACACAAAAAAAAGCAATTTTAAGCCTTTTTACTCGCTATTATGTCAGGACAAAACTGGATAAATGCTGCTAATCTGTCCCCACTAATCCCAAGTACAGCATCTTCTATGGAAATTACTCTAGCGGACAGAAAATTAGAACACTGTGGTGCAGCAAGCAACAGTTAAAATCCAAGATGCAGAAATTAGCCAAAGCAGAAATTACAGTTTGGTTGCAGAGGTTAATGGAATAATTCTGGGCTCAGACTGCTGGAGGTTCTGCCTGTTTTACCTCCAATGAATGGAGGAGAAATCTGGCTCGCTGCCCAAAACTGGTTCAGATTCCTGGCACAGAATGAGTTGGTTGCAGATCCTTCTTATCTGCTGGGACGCTCATTAGTGCCACCGACAATTTCAAACCTCTGCTGTCTCGTGCTTGATTTGCAAAAAAATCTGGATGGTTAGCTTTCTTTAACGAAAGTGCAACTGATGATTATTTGGATTATTTTTCACTAATATGACCGATAATTTTCTCAATCAGCTGAAAGTGAAATTGTTTTGACTTGTGACTGTTTTGTCAGTAAAATGAAAAGAGAAAAAGTGGAAGGCGACTGAGTTTTATTATAAAAAAAGCAAAGAAATGCTGAAAATGTATGAACTTTCTGATGAAGAAATGATGCTTCAGTCCATCCATCCATTACCTGTACACCACTCACTAGGGTCACGGGGGGTCTGGAGTCTATCCCAGCTGACTCAGGGTGAAGGCAGGGGACACCCTGGACAGGTCACCAGTCTATCACAGGGCTACACTTAGAGACAGACAACCAAGCACACTCACATTCACACTACGGACAATTTAGAATCACCAATTAACCTCAACATGTGTTTGGACCGTGTGGGAGGAAGCTGGAGAACCCGGAGAGAACCCACACTGCACGGGGAGAACATGCAAACTGCACGCAGAAAGATCTCAGGTGTCCTCACCAGGATGCAAACCGGCGACCTTCTTGCTGCGAGGCAACGATGCAAACCACTGTTCCACCTTGCAGCCCTTGATGCTTCAATCCAATATTTTTACTTTAGAATCTTCATGACTTGCATGCAAATTTAATTAGTGATAAAAATATAATCCACAAATAAATCATGCTGTGTTTTTATAAACAACCCAGCAGTATATATTATAGTTATTTAAATTAGCTTAAACATTTCCAGATGCAATATTAAAGTGATGTTTACACATTAATGCATCGATAATATTAATCCAACATCATATGCTACTGGATCACTCTGCACAGGGACATTTACTATTAACACTTTTTCTTTTGCTTAGGCAACATTATTTTACAGCAGGACGTTCACTTTAATAACGTTGCCTGTTGGACTTTCTCATATAACAGTGTTCACAGAGGATTCAGAAAGTTTTCAGTCTTTCCTTTCACTTTTTATCACTTCACCCTTTTGTTCATTCAGCTTCTAATGACTAAAACAGACATTGTTTCCCATCAATCTACATGCAATAACCCAGAATCACAAAGTGCAAATGTATTTCGGAGAATGTTTTCAACAATCTGACTGGAATCCAACTGAAACTAATTGAACTGATTGGATCTAGTTTGTAAAAGCCAGCTACTGTGTATATAATAGTCCTCCAATGCAGACTGCATGTCAGGACAAAAATCAAGCCACTCCAGTCCAAGGAAGTCTCTGTAGACCTCTGTGATAAAACTGTGGCGAATCAGAGATGAAGGCAATGGTATAAAAATATTTCTAAAGCTCTGAGTGTTCCAGGAGCACAGCGGCCTCAATATCTGTGAAAGGAAGGAAGTTTGGACCCAGCAGGGCTCTTCAGAGAGTTGGCTGTCCAGTCGAACTGAGCATCTGAGAAAGAAGAGCCTCGGTCAGGGAGGAAACCAGGAAGAAGCAAGAGAAAGTGCTGAAAGGTGGAAGATGGATGGAAATGTATTCACTTGTAGTTAGAGATGATTAATCTACTAATCTAATACATTAATTACTTTTATTGCAAACTACTTTCATAATTAATTGATCGGTGTTGATTCTTTTTAGTTTCATCCTCTGACTCCAGCTTCATAAATGTGAATATTTTCTGGTTTCTTTCCTCCTCTATGACAATAAACGACATATCTTTGGGTTGTGGACAAAACAAGACACTTCAGGACGTGATATTTGACTATGAGAACATCGATTGACATCTCTCATAATTTCTTTGACATTTCATGGACCAGACAACTAAATGATAATTCAAGAAAATAACTGACAGACTAATTGACAATGAAAGCAATCGTTAGTCGCAGCCCTGCTTGACAAACCAAGTTTTTGTTTTGCACGACGCAGTCATTTTCACAGAACTATGGCTAACAAAACATAGCTGACGGAACCACACCAAAACACTGAGCTATAGCCTTCAAAAAAATACAACTTTTTTGTCAGCAGGTATCTCTGAAACATACACAAGTCAGTTTTCATATTTGTGAAAGTGCACCTTTTATACTGGTCTTTACAAAACAGTCCCCAGTTGTCCTTCATAGGAGGAATTACAGCTTAACATAAAAATAAACCTTAAACTTCAAAACACCAATAAAGACTCCAAACCCTTTTGACGGCCACTTTCAGAGATTTGAGCATTTGAACCCATCCATCCATCCATCATCTATACACCGCTTAATCCTCACTAGGGTCGTGGGGGGCTGGGGTCTATCCCAGCTGACTCAGGGTGAAGGCAGAGGACACCCTGGACAGGTCACCAGTCTATCACAGGGCCACACTGAAAGACAGACAACCAAGCACACTCACATTCACACCTACGGACAATTTAGAATCACCAATTAACCTCAACATCTGGACTGTGTGGGAGGAAGCTGGAGAACCCGGAGAGAACCCACACTGCACGGGGAGAACATGCAAACTCCACGCAGAAAGATTCCGGTGCCCCCACCGGGACACAAACCGGCGACCTTCTTCCTGGGAGGCAACAGTGCCACCAACTGTGCCACCCTGCAGCCCGCATTTGAACCCAATGTAATATATTTATTATTTAGCAGTGTTTGAACTAAGATTGTCCTCTAATGTTTCTCTCAAAATTACAATTATTCCAGAAGAAAGCGGGACTCACTTCTAACCTCTGTTAAAAGCTGCAGTGATATTCAACCACAGCTTTGACATCGAGCCTGCCAAGAGGTTGGAGTAATGCGACTGGCTGAAGCCCACCTGAGCTCAGCTCTGTCGCCTGACCAACTCACATAAAACACTTGAAGTGCTATTTCAGACACGCCAAATAAATGTCGAATGTCCCTCTTTTCTTTGAATAAACAGATGTAGCATCACACAGCAGCAGGAGCTGTACTGTCTGCAAACTAAGAGAGCGGCTGTGGTCAGTGTACACATGTGGCACTGCAGGTGACTTCACAGATTATTTCAATCTTCTGACCTGTCAATGTGATCCTTTAATCTGGATGTTTTTCCACAAACAAAAAGCTGAGCTGCTGCACAGATTCACACTTTCTACAGTGAAATCACTGGGTTAAGTTCAGGAGGAATTCAGAACCATCACAGCTGTCGGGACATTTATATTTTCAGCAAAATATTGTTGTAGAATATAAATTTTCAGTTTTGTTGCTTAAACGCAGTCAGATTGTCCATAGTGGCACTACTGCAAGCATCTGACTCACAATGGAGGTGAATGAAGTTTGTGTTACAATATTAAAAGCTAACATTCAGAAAATTCACCTGTAAGATGCTTTTCCTAGTAACAGAATCTTTTCTTTACGCTTGACAATCGACAGCCACAGAACACAGCGTGTAGTTTTACCTTCAGCTACTTTCTACTGTAGAAATGTTTCTACTGTTTGCACTGCAAAAAAATAACGTCTGGGCTTAATTAAAAACAAACTATAATGCAACAGTTTGCATCTGTCTTTTTAAGTTATGGTAACTTCTAATGAAATTATGTCCAACCAACAAACTACACAGGTAAGTCTTAAATGTCTAAAATTGTCCGTGCACGTTAGGACTTGGTAATGCTAAAAGGTCTGCACTTATATAGTGCTTTTATCTAAAGCGCTTTACAATGTGTTTCTCATTCACCCGTTCATACACCAATGGTTACAGAGCTGCCATGCAAGGTGCTGTGTGCCATTAGGGGCAACTTCAGGTTCAGGGTCGTGCCCAAGGACACTTTGACTGTGGAGGGGCCGGGGATCGAACCACCAACCTTGCGACTGGAGGACAACCTGCTCCACCACCTGAGCCACAGTCGCCCTAACCTGAAGTTATCAATGTCATTTCATTATGTTCCCTCAACTTCACCTGAATTAAAAAATCAACTAATGTGGTCCAAGGTTCACATGATATTAATTTGATGCATTTCCAAACGTTACTACGTCAACCCAACTCATCAACATGATGTTTGCAACTTGAAAGGTTTGTTAAAATCAGCAAATTAGATTATTATGATTTTACTGTGGTAATAAGTGTTTGGAATAGGTAACTTGCAAGCAGTGTGAAGTTGAATCTGTCTATTTAAATACAACTAAAAAATGATTTAAATGCGTTTAAACAGATCTGAAGAGAATTGATAAAAGTGAGTTGCTGTCACTGGTGTCAGAAAGGTGTTAACTCAACAGTGTTTAATGTCAGCTGCCACTCTGATTTTAGGACGGTGAAAGTTTGCTTTTTAACGTCAAAAATGTAGTAATAAAAGACAATTTAACTGTCACAGTGAAAATAATAGCTAACTGCATCAGTAAGTAGTAAACATGTGACAGTATATCTCATAAAATGAATGGGTTTCTGTCATTACTCGTTTAATCCATCTAAAGGGGGCTTCACTGTTGGTTGTAAATTGGTGGCAAGCTAGAAAATATTATGTAACTAAATGCGTAAACGCTGAGACAGACGTTTTGTTAAGCCTAATGGGACTTCAGAGACAACCTAAAATTACAGTTACATTAAATTATAACTGCGTATTTCACAGCTGTGTTCTTACATCGTGGTGGTCCTCCACTATCCACACAGGCAGCTCCTTGTACACTCTCTTCAGCGGGACGCAGCTCATGCTAACCGGGGAAGCTAACGGTGACCCTCCGCCAGAGAACCGCTGATATTTAACCTGACTGCAGCCAACTAATCTCCTTCTCGCATTCCGATAACTTTCTATCAGACAAAGTCATATAAGTACCCCAAACAGAGGCAGGTGCTGCCATTCAAACAGCTGACAGCAGTGAAATTGGACCACCGGAAACAATACCAGCACTGTTTTTGTGTCCGGATAGAAACAAGGGTCAAGAATGAAAGGTTCCTAGCGTTCTTTCTGGCCCAACTCCAATCTCCATCCTAAATCCTGATCAGTAAACCCTCACAGATTTAACTAACATCACCTGGCAAGGGAGTGAGTGAAGCGAAAATAAAAATGACATCGTATTAAACTCCTATTTATTAAGCTTTTCCAATGTCATACTGTTAAATATTATTATTATTTTAAATAATTTTTTAAGCACGAAATGTAGGCATGTCTTTCTACTTCCAAATCTTAACTTTTTGAATATTTCTTGTATAGATAGATAGATAGATAGATAGATAGATAGATAGATAGATAGATAGATAGATTCTTTACCGTCTGTCTTGAGTAAAAACAGAAATTCATATTTAAAACAGCTCAATGAAGCATTAAAATATAATTAAGAACCAAACCCAGGACCTAGGACCTTATAGACCCTTTGTAACGCACATATTTTACTCAAGTAGTGCCTTCAAAATGTTGCATTGTTGTCTTGTACTTTAATGAGAATAAAGCTTCTAACTCTAGATCTAATTATAAACTTGTTTATGTATACATAGGGACAGAGAAAAATTACATTTGATATAAGAGAAACTACCTGTCGAGATGAATGCTACCTGAATGTTAATTTAGTTATTATTATACAACAAATATACATATACGCTGAATGATTGAATTTTGGGATTTGGATTTAGATTTCTGTAGTATGTGAAATAAAGCCCATGTCAGTCTTGTTCGACAGGTTCTGGAGGATGACACAAACTCCTTGGTAGGAAAATTCAATGCAAAGTGCTCCTTGCCCCTCCCCTTCAAATATTTCTTGACTTTTAAGAAGCAAGTTGAAACAGACACTAATGACACTGGAAAAGTACTAAGAGAGTAGAAATTCACACTTTAACAAAAGAAATTAAGAAAAAAAAAAAAAGAAGATCGTCGCACAAAAACACAAAAAACAAAACAAAATGATTTCCAATGCCACAAGTGGCAGATTTTAAATGTAAAAACAACTACAACAGATACAAAAAAAAAAAAGAAAAAAAAAAATTTCAGTTCAGGTTTTGTTTTCAATGTCAAATATTATTACCAATGCCAAACTATACTATCACTGTTTTAGCCTCATACAAAGCATGTTTCATACTATTGTGGGTTTGTGATTTAAGCAAAAGCATATATGGAATTTATCATCATGCCATCATAGGACAACAACTATATACAGTCCTGACTATAAATCAGCAGTGAGCTTTGTATTTATACTGACATGTAAATGTTTATTGTTGTAAGGTTGGTGTTCACTGGCCCCTCTATGCTTGTTTGTTTATTTTTTATTCTTAACGCTTCTGGGCTTCCCCTGGTAACCCTTTGTTTAATGTCGCAGTGCTATGAACTGTGGGTAATCCCCTCAGGCACCGTCTGCAGAAATGCACACTTAGAGAAAGTGTGCAAAAAGGACTCAGGACATCAGCGAGAGAGCCCTCATGCACCTGATGATCTGACAGTGGGACAGCTCTTAGCGGGAAGCCTCCTCAAAGACCCAAACCCAATATCCACCCTGAAGCCACTAAACCTTCACAGAGTGAACTGACGTCACAGCTGCAGTGCTGAGTGTGTGAGTCCATGAGGGCTGGAAATGATAGAAAAGGAGGAATGGGACACATTTTGCCCGGTAGGAACGATTTGCCATTAAAGAAAGTGAATTTGGATGTTTAGAAAACTACCAAAACTTCAAAAAATATTGAACACCTGTAAATCCAGTGCTGAAGTCTGACTGAAAATTCACACAGTTCTACAAATATGTAATAAATAATCCCAGCAGCGAGCAGCCAGATGCTGTCACTTATAGATAAACTTCTTCCTGCACCATCTACGGTGTGGTGTGACAACCACATTTATGAATCAATGATTTCGCTATAAACTATGGGAAAGTTTCTAAGGAAAGTCTGCAAATATGCAGACCAACAGTTAGGTCCCATCTGTGAAAGTGAAAAGTCTGCATTGCAGCCTTCATGCACTTGACCATCTGACAGGGGACCAGCCTGAGCCCTCATGCACTCAAGTCCTTGAGGGTTAGCACTGAGATTTGGCCTTCGTGTTCTGCTTTGTCTTTTGGTTTGACTGGCATTTGACAAACCAGGTTTCTAGGTGCATTTCCACCAGCTACCGACCTGGAGAGTGGAACAGTAGCTTGGAAAAAAAAACCCAGCAAATCAAAACTAAACTTTCTCAGTTAACCATGTTTCCTTCAGGTACGTCAGTGACTGTACACTTCCCATGTTGCATCTTCAAAAAGGTTCCCTCAGGTGATGGATTCTTCAGTCTCTTTAATGTTGATGTCAGTTCCTTCCTTCCCTCTTCATAGCCCAAACATTCCAGCAGTATGTGACTGAGAGTGACTGCTCTACCTGTTGGGTATTTACCATAAACTATTAAAAAAAAGACAGATGTCACGTTTCTGTTTTGAAGCTCAGTGTTTGGTTCTGGCTATCAACATATTGGTAGTGCCAGACTCCTCCTAACTCCTGGCTAATCCAAAAAGGAGCAAAGGGAGTGTGAGTGGAACTAAAGTGGGCCATGGACTGTCCTGTGATGGCAGCCATCTGTCACTCAAAGCAGTCACACCCTAAATTATGCATAACATTAAGCTTTAATACAGTTTAAAAGGGTGAATTTTCTAAAGGTTCACCCCTGTGCAGTTGTCATGAACATTGAAATGTTTGCCAGATTGTAAACATGTTTATTCCTGCTGTAAATTTGGACATTTTAACACACGGATTAAAGGGGATGGACTCACTTTTGGAGGTAGCCTCTTGTGGCCAATTGAGGAACTGCAGTTTTTTTTGGCACTTCAGATTGGCAGCATTTTTCAGAGGAGGTTGCGATTTCTTTTTTTTTTTTTTTTCTTTTTCTTTTTTTAAATTTTATGAAGTATCTGATCAAGTCCAGCATGTCTTATTCTGAGTTTGGTGACTACTTCTTTCTTTCATAACTGTCTTACCCTCTGCTTTACTCAGTGGAGTTTAAATGTTCACTATTCGCATTCTGAGTGATCGCCTGGCCCTAAGGCCTTGAAAATACACAAGTGTGGAAACTCACATGAACAGCTGTGAACACCAAGGGACACGTAGTTGTGTTTTCATACAACTTTTGTAGTCCGCAGTTGACCACATGGAAGACTAAGTTCCATTCATGTGCAGCAGATTGAATCTACATATTTCCTGCATGCGCATTACTGCTGAGCCTATTGTCCTTGTATTATTGCAAAAAATAAAACATTTTACACTTGGTCTTGTCTTTTTTTTTGACAGGCATGTTACATACTATCGCTCGAAATGATGAATTTCAGAAAAGAGATCTTGTCTGTATGTGCTGTCCAACTACTAGATGCAGTCAGATCACATTTTTTGTGTTTTTCTTCTAATCATTTCAAACTACCAGATACATATACAGACAGATGATCTGTGGTTCTTCTCTCATTGTGGGATGAAAACTGCTGCTCCTGTTTGCCCACTCTGACAAACAGATTTTGGGCCATCTGTAAATAACACAACTTATCTGCAAAGTGCTGCTGCTCAGTGTCATTTTGTTCTATCCTCCCAGCAGGCACCTGTTTGAATATCTCCTTCAGTTGTTTCTGTATATTTAAGTCTACTGATAGCATCACAAATTACCAGAGAGGAACAGCAGACGATGGGACTATTGGACTGTGCTGTATGTTGAACCTACACTTTCTGCTTTTGCATTTCTGTCCATCCAAAGCTTCTGAAATGGATTTCATTGTGCTCCGAGCAGTCCTGCAGGAGGGCCTTTGCAGAGTGTAAGCTTCAGGGCCCCTGCAGATTAACCCAGTATGTCAATATAAGTTTCACTCTTCTTATCCGCAGTGGCACCTCCTTCATTTCAACTTGTGTGGCAGCTACTGGAGATGTTCTAAAAGCTCCATCGAATATTCCTAATTCTTGTTTATTAAGGCAACGCTCTGGTGCTCATGTTTGAGTATGTATATAAGATCTGGTGTACGTTCAGCAATGATGCTCTGGTTCCGTCATCCTGACAGGCATCTTGAAAGGTACTAAATTTAGTAATAAAACAGAATGATGGGTGGGACTTTAAAGGAGAGTTTTAGCTGGTTGTAAGCATCATGTGCAAAAAAAAAATGAAAGTAAATACACAATACTGTAAAAACATATGCTTGACATACAAACTGAAAACAAAACAAATAAGAATTAGACATGCTTTCACACTTTTCATGACAAAAATATCCAAAACTAGATATAAACTAGTTGCAGGTTTCTTATGTATCTGGAATGCAATCTGGGAAATAGTGGCTCATTGGCACCCAGCTACCATTGGCGGACCACCTGGCTGCGTGGTGCGACGACAACAACCTGCTGCTCAACGCCAAGAAGACCCAGGAGCTCATCGTGGACTTGCTGGCACACACACACACCCATTTGCATCAATGGTGGAGGGTGTGACCAGGTTTCCAAATTCATAAGCATCTACATCTTGTAGGACCTCACCTGGATGACTAATGGCTCCAACCTGGTCAAGAAGGCTCACCGACACCTCTTTTTCCTGAGGATCACCTCCTTCAGGCATCCTGGTGAACTTCCACAACATCGAGAGCATCCAAACCAACTGTTTTACAGTCTGGTACAGGAACTGCTCTGTTTCAGACCTGAAGGTGCTGAAGAAAGTGGGCAAAACTACTCAATACATCACTGGAGCCTCACTTCCTGCTATTGAGGGCATCTACAGGAAGCGGTGTCTCAGGAGAGCAAAAAAAAAAAAAAAAAAACCAGCAAAGACTCCTGCCACCCAGCACGCAAACTGTTTGCCTTCAGGCCCTCTGGGAGACGCTATAGGAGCCTCCGAACTAAAACCACCAGGTTCAAGAACAGTTTCTTTTCATCTACTGTCTCTCTGCTGAA